CACCTTGTGCTACTTGAACAATAAAAACAGGCGTGACAACTTAAAGGGCATGAATCTGGCTCCATCCAGCGCAAGTCTCTCCTTCCTTCGGGCTTGATTATTTATGGCAAGTGCATAGAGAGACTACTCCAGGACAGCATCAGCTAGCCTCCCAACCGTGCACGGGGGGCCAGGGGATCCGCAGGCACTGCAAAAGGATGTTCAGCCTTGCTGGGAAGAAAGATGGCACCAGCACTACTGCCCAGTCAGGTTCCCTTGGGGGGGGCAGCATCATAGGACGAAGACAGCAAAAAAAAAAAAACCCTGAAGATGCAAGTACATCTTGTGCTACACCATACATTGTACGGAGCCCTACCTGGAAAGGGGAGGGGGATGCTTCTGCATCAGAGCACTGGTGGGTGAGCTCACATAGGACCCCACACTAACCCAGCCTGTTAGTCAAGAGCTTCTGCGGATCCCGATCTGCTCCAGGACAACGCAAACCTGCACACAAATACTGCACTGAGCTGGGAGCGATGGCTAAGAGAGCACCCCGCGTTCCCTTTTCTAATAGGCCTTGACACTGCAGGTTAGCTAGCTCAATCTGTCCTCATCGTTCCCAAAAACGCTCAGCTCAAAAACCCCCTACTATTTCGGTCATTTCTATTTCCTCTGCACAGAGCAGCAAATCTGGTTGGAAGCCAGCTGAGCAGTGGTGTTTAATGGATTGACTCGTCTATGGATTTCCTTAAAAAAAAAAAAAACACCCTCCAAACATTTAAATAAATAGAAGACAGGATTAAATAAATCAGCTTAAAATTACTTTCGAGCCATTCCCAGTTATGTCACATGGAGGAAATGCATCACCAGGGTCCTTTCTTCATCGCTTTTTTCAAATATTAATAAGCAGTGTAATTGCAACATGACTCACTGCAATCTCCTGCCAAGCTGGAGAGACTATCTGCAAGATGCAGGCTTTCTAGAGCGTTGCAAAGGCAGATGTGTGCTTGGGGACTCTTTTGGAAAGGTTTGCATCGTAAGCAGCAGGGTATGGAAAATGGCCAGGCAGTCGCTTGCCTTTGCAAGTCATTCCCTCGCTTCCTTATTCCTTTCCCTCCTCTCTTAACAACCCCCTCACACATGGGATTTATTGCAGGGTTGGGGTTTGTGTGTCCTCAGTGTGTAAGGCAAAGCAGACAGAGCATGATTTTTATTCCAGGAGGAACGTCTGGGTTGAGAAACCAGCCAGGATCATTCGCAGTTTTGGGCACGAGGTATTCAGCTGATGATAGAAGTGTGACCAGTGCCTGGGCCAGCTGTGTGCCGATGCTGCCTGCCTCCCACCCAAGCACTAGAAATGCTCCAGGGTGCAACGGAGAGGGGGAGAAGACGCCAAAGACGGCAAAATTGAGATGACTGCAACCAAAGAAGAAGGGTGAGGAAGAAAGACGAGAAAATAGGAAAATGGTGCAGCACCTCGGGAAGGGAGCAGCTTGGGAGATGAAGAGCACTGCACCGGGAGGGCAAGGCGTGGGCAGGAAAGCAAAGGCGGAGCAAGCTGGCTCACTCATCGCTGCCTGATCTTCTTTGCTCACTTCCAAGCCAAGTGGTTCCCAGCCAACCTGATGCCATGGGGCATCTTCTGCAGCCCCACCAGGCAATGCTGACGCTGCCCTGCTGGCAGTGGGTGCTGCTTAACGACTTGGATTTTGCAGCGCCGGCTGGACACGATCCCCCTCGCATCTCTACAGAGCTGTAGCAAGGCACCCACATTCCCACTCACCAAGGATCTGACCATGACCCAGCCCCATGGGAAAAGACACCAGCTCTGGGACCTGAAGCCCTATCCATCTTCCCAGGCAGGCAAAAAGCATTTTTAGGAGTTGGCTTTGAAGGATCAACTCTCAGAGATGGAGAAGGTGGTTTATACAGAAGGTCCTAAACACACCAGCCTAACCGAGACAGCAGAGCTTTGAGCCGGGCAGCTACCTGCAGGCTCTGCATTGGGGTCTTCTTCAGTTCAGTCAACAGCGTTAAACTCCCCAGTGCCAACATTGGTCAAGCCTCACAAAATCCCTCGGTTCAACCCCAAAAATCTAAAGCCCAGCTAGACGTGGAGACAACAAGCTTTCAGGAGGACTTCTGCAGCAGCTGCAGCGCTTACCTCATCCGACTCATCTGAGAGGGTCCGCAGTAAGATGGGGAAGAGGCTGTCGGTGTGTCGGAACATCTAGAACCAGAAAGATGGACAGCATCAGTCCTACAGGTCTGGTCACCCCCTGCCACAGGACTCCTCGCCCCGGGGGAGGCTGCCAAAAGCTTCACCAGCATTTTCCAGTTGAGCTGGAGAGCTCTTCTTCCTTAAGCTACTGAGCATCCAGCAGCCAAAGCCTTCTCAGAAAAGGCAGGTGGACTCTTGGTTGCAATGCTACCAAGATAATTAGAGCCATTCCAAAGGCATGGAGCAGGCTGGGAACAGACAAGCTCAGTCCCATGGAGGAAGCAGCAAGCTCGCATGCTGAGTCCCTGACCTACCTTACGAGGAGTCTTGATGTACAAGTGGTAGAGCCACTTCAGGACTGCAATTCTGGTCATCATCCCAATGGAAGTGTCATGAAGGTGGCAGTCCAGCACCTGAACTATTCCATCCAGGTTCAGGGTCACCTGGATCCTCTCGCAGCTGCATGGAAAGGAGAAAGGCTGGTTCAGCATTGTAATGTCCAACTCTCTCCTCCCACAGTGAGGAGGTCTACAACACACCAGAAGCTACATCAAACATCTCAGTTCAAACACTAAGAAACCTCAACTCGGTTTCTTTCAGCAGTCCCCCTCGGCCTGCTCCTGCCCTACTCCGCCTGGCCACCCACATTTCTTCTCATTATTTCTTATTCTGTGCATTCAGATCTGCTCACGGCAAACCCAACAACTGGGCTTCTTCAAGAGTTATGACAGCCAGGAAGCAAGCTCCAGGCTTGCAAGCCTGCAGGCTCACGGCTGGGCATGGCCAGATTTGCCCATCTGGCATAGGTAGCTTCTGGCTGGCATTACGAGATGGGTAAGCACAACGAGAGACAGAGCAACGCACCAAAAACTTGCTTTGGAAACAACAGAAATCTTCCAGGCTTCAAGATTTACCACTTTCTCAAAACAGCCGGTATCTGCACATGACAAGACACCACACTAGGTGAATCCAGTACCGTGGCTGTCTTGAGAAACTGGTTCATGTTGCAATCACCAGGTTTGGGGTTCAAAGACTAGAGATCCATAAAATGCACTCAAAATCCAACTCAAGTTTGACCAGCTCAAACATCTCCAGAGAATATCAACCCACATGCCCTCAAACACCACTAGTTAGGGTTACCCAACCAGGTGAGGACATCCAGCTTCCACTAATCCCAGCAGACTCATGCTGAGGACTGCCGATGGTGCCCTGGCTGGCAGTGGTTTTGGGATGCAGCTCTCTGCTACAAGGTTGCCTTGAGAACATCATCTTGTTTCCGCAAAGCCATCCCAAAAGATGAGAGTAACTCTTGGTCATCAACCAGGGATGAAAGCAAACAACTCCCTTAGTTCACCAGCACGTTGCCTCTTCTATAACACCGAGAGCCTGCAGACCTTTAGCTCTTGCTCCCCAGTCTTTCCCCAAATAGTTGGGACCTGTACTGGGACAGGAGACTCCAACGCAGAAGAGGTCATGTTACGGCATTTTTTTTGTCCTGTTTGTGACCCTGAAGTCTACTTTGATGGTTTCCCACCTCCTTAACAGCAAGACATGGGAAGTATCTGTTGCAGGAGACTAGGTTAAGGAGAAATGGTTGGATCTGAGATGGTTGGAGCCAAGACAGTCGAAGTAGATCTCCAAGAGGTAGCTGCACTGAAGAGCTAAGTCACTCCTGTCCTACCCAAGCTACTGAATTATTCAAGGCTGGACCGGACTTTTGCCGATTTTTCTAGCATGCGCAGAGCTGCCCTGCATCTCGTTTGATAAGAAATCCTAAGGGGCAGATTTCTCATGGTATAATTTGCAAGTAGAGCTGCGGCTTAATAGGATTTGATCTTCCCCGGGACACACATTGTCAGGGCGAGACGAGGAGGCTGCGGCCTCTCACAGCCCTGCAGATATCTGACTGCTTGATCTGCCTCACGTAACAGATGCTGGGGTCTGCAAATTGCATTTGGAGTTGGACTAAGTTTCGCTTTGATGTTGCAAACAACAGTTGAGGGCCATACGCTCAGATGTGCAGAACCGAGGGGAAGGAGGGACCCAGAGCACAGGGAGTTTGGGAGAAGAGATGTCCAAGGGAAGAGTGTTCCAGGCCATTTAAGCCAGCCTGAACGAGCCCCGTATCTGGTTTTCCTGCAAAAGCAGCTTCTGCTGCAATGGCACAGCCACGCAGCACGGGGCTCCTGATGGAACAGGAGCACAAATCCTCAACCCAACACCAAAATACACATTGCCTGCACAGGATAGGGAAAAAAAAACCCCAACACCGCTCTCAGGGTAACACATGTTTTCAGAGGGAAGTGGCCAAAAGGATGGCACAGAGAAGCAGCACGTAAAGCCGGCGCGTTTGGATGCTGTCACATCCACCAGCTCCGTGTTGCTGCGAGACAGGTGGGGAAGACACAGGGTGGGATGGTTTGCCACGGCACCGGTTAAAGCAGGATGCTGGACTTCTGCCAGCACAGCAACAAGCTATTTCCATCCCGGCTTATGCCAAAATTGCTCGTGAAAACCCCTCTCCCCAGTGATGCAGTAGCCAGGCAGAGCCTGGGTAGCTCAAGCCAAAATCCACCCGAGTTGACCCCAGGAGGTAGCTGGCAGCACCAGGGTCACCTCGAGTCAGCCAGAGCCCAGTCATGCCACGTACCCCTCGCGTCTCCTGCTAAAAGGGATCACGGCTGGGCAAAGCTCCTCGCCGGCTATCCTCTCCCCACATCTGCCGAGATAAACCTTTTAGGGGAGTTGCTGGCAGAGAAGCAGCTCACTTACTCAGCACAAAATCAGGGCACCATCCTGAAAGGCAAGAACTCTGATCAACATGTGAAATTTGGCTAAAAATCTCCCACCGACCATGCTCCTTTACCTCCGAGATGGAGCGGGACCAGATTCCTGTGGGCTGCCGTTTTTCCAGGGGGGGAAGACGGCAGCTGAGCAGGGCGAGCGCTGCCGTGGCTGCAGCTCCGAAGCGGGCTCACAGCTCACCCCGTCTCTCCTTAATCCCCAGGCAGTGCGGAGCGGGAGCAGCAGTAATGGCATTGCATTAATGCAATCCTCTGGGCATGCCACACCGGCTCCCAGTGCCAGCATCTGTGGTAGGGCAGATGTCAGATGCGATCGCTTCCATCTAACCCACTACCCCAGATTCTCCTCTGGAGGACGAACGTGGCCCTGGCACCGCCTCCGTAGTTTGCCTGTGACAGCGAGAACATGTTTTCAGGGTGAACTGAGCGATGATGGCTGTACCAGGCTCTCACCTCTGGATACTGGTACCCTTTGCTCAAGCTGAGCGGGGGGGCAAGGAGACCCACCCCTCCCAGCACATCCCTCCATCTCAGAAAGCATCCTCTACCACGGAAATAGAGCTCGCTTTCCCACTGCATTCAACTCACAGTGATGTTTTTCACCCCATGTGCTTTATCAACACATTTTCTCATTTCTGATGGCTTCTGCCATCTCTCTCCTCAGCGGTCACCTTTTCTCCGCCAATGCCTGAGCTGTCATCTCCCTCCTGGCCTCCTGCCCGGCCCAGCTGCTTTTCTGACCCCATTTTCAGACAAGGTTAAAGTCTAGGCCAGGCTCTAGCCTTTAAGTGGGCCCAGCAAAGCAGCCTTGCCAAGGGTGGAAATATCCAGGTTCTTTCATTGTGGTCCAAGTCACAAGGGCAGCTCCCATACGGGCTGGCAGCTGTGCGGCTCAACGGGCTCCAGGAGGTAAATAGCTCCTCTCTGCTATCAGTCCCACAAGCTGTCGCTTTCTTGTCCTCCATCGTTCTCATTTCGGTGCTCTTGGCTTCCTTCTGCTTACTGCGGTTTCCAAGTACTGGTGCCTGCAGCACCACCACAAGCTGATTTCCCAGGGAAGTGCTCTAGGTAGAGGCATCCAGTCCGACGAGCCCTGCAGATCACGGTGACAAGGGCCGGGGTAGGGTGCCCGATGTCCTCCTCCAGTTCAGCCTCCCAAGGGTGCAGTGGGAGCGGTGAAGGGAACGCATCTCCTTGCCCCAGGCTGGAGAGAAGGGCCAGGAGGAGCCTCCCCAGGACGACACTCTGGACCCAAAAGCTGCAGCAAGACAAGGTGCTGGAGAACGGGTCTCCAAGGCAGGTTTGATGCATGAGCTCAATGCAAGCCATCGTGCTGCCTTCGTCCAACCATCCCTCGCGCGCTGCGGGGCACCCAGCACCATCCCTACCCTCCACCCAAGTGCTCACCACTTCCACAATCTCCCCAACTCACCAGTTGCACCCCAAAATGTGTGCCAGGCTCTGGGCATGGGGCTACAGCAACTTTCAGCATGAGACAAGCAGTAGCAATTTTAGCTTTGTACTAAGCCCTACCTACCACCCTTAGAAGTCCAATTTAAAGGCAGCCTTGGGCTGTTTAGCCACGTTGCAGCCGTTTGCCCTTTCCGTAGAGTAACAAGCAGCTTTATGTGTCCACGTGCTGCTGAACACCATCCAAAAGAAGAAGCCTTCCTTGCATCAGGAAGACCACCAAGGCTCTTCTGGAGCCCCCAGGTCCCTTATTTAGTTTGGTGAGGGATCGTGGTCCCACCACCGCTCTCCAACTGCCATGCATCTCACCTAGGCAGCCCTGCTGACCGCTTGCCAGCCCTGCAATACGGTTAAGGAAGTTGTCTCGAACCGCCCAGGTCTTGTATTGAAACACCAATGCAGTTACAGCTTTCCAGCTGTTTTGGTCCAGCGAGGCAGGACAGACATCTGCATCTTCTCCTGCAGCAGCTCAGACCGACGGAAGGAAGCTCGGGCTTTGCTCCAGCAGCCATGTTTCCACCTCCCCTTCCTGATCCAGGCTCACACCAGCAATCGCAGCATCAGCATGGTCAGCTAGGCCACAGGAAGGCTCCAGGGCCTCTGAAACACGGCTCTGGTCCACTTCCAATGACGGTTTTTGGAGAAGCTGGAACTGGGGACCCCCACCTGCACGGGGAGCCCTGAAGCCCCTCCAGCCCTGTGCAGCCAGGCTCTCCCAGGTGCCGGTTTCTGTCTCGGCACAGACACAGTCCCCATTTCCTAGAAAATGCCACCAGAAAGCTCCCTCCAAGTGAAGCTGGCAATTACCCTGGAAGCCTTTTGGATCACCAACAGAATATTTTAGGAATGGGGAGGCCGAGGGCGGCGGGGGGGGGCACATGTGTCCGTTTGTGGCCATAGGAACACGCCCAGCATCCACATATCAAGCATTCAGATCTCGTCATTTTCTTGGATGGCATCTTCACAGAAGACATCCCTCTGCAGACATTAGGCCATGAGTTCCTCCGCCCCTGCTGACCGAAGTCCTCCTCTTTTCGCCGCTGCTGCATACGAACGGGGCGTGAGAGCCGGATGCCTGGCACTGAGCCATGCTCCATCACTCGCTCCCCGGGGGAGACCGGGAGAAGCAGGGGAGAGGAGGGGGGAATGAACAAAAACACAAGCAAAGAGTGACTTCATCTTAAAAGGCAGCTGCAACTTCCTCTGTTTACAGGCTTTCCCAGCTTTTCAAAGCAATGCAAAGGTTTCCTGCGGTCCTGGCTTGACACCCAGTGGGCATTCAGCATGCAGGCAGCTGCCCGCTCCCTGGTGTGAATCATGGCTGCAAGTGGTTACGGGTCCCAGCTCTTGTCTTCCCCCAGCTCCAGAGCCAAGCCAGACAGCCTGAGCAATAGAAGGAGCACCAGGCAGATGTCCAGGGCTCCTCTTGGCCGTGTACACCCCCTCAAAACCCGTGCCAGTCCCCCGCAACGGGTGCCATGGTGAAGATGTTTCAGGTCCCGACGCTGGGCTAGCAGAGTCACCCAGGATGGGGAAATGGGCTTCAGGGCAGGTGAACCCCAGGATAAAACCTGGAGTCTCCTGTTTAAAAGGGCTTAAGAGGGCTCAAGAACAAGTCCCTCTGTAAAACCAGGTCTCTTAGAGATGCGAAGGGTCTCACCTCCTGTCCTGGATGGTTTTCCCTGGTGCTTGGGGAGCTGGCGGACTGCTTCAGCTCAGGCAGCCGTTCTCCTCCTGGCTCTCGGTGACACCGTGACCAAGTCACTCCAGCTCTCCCTGCTTCTGTCCCCCTTCGGTCTTCACTCCCCCTCTCCCGCAGGTACAAGCTTTTCAGCACAGAGCCGCAGTTAGCACTTCTCCTCCTGACTTAATGCCTCTCCTTTTCCTTCCCCTTACCAGTTTCAGCCCTACACACACCCACTTCTGCACCTGCTAAACTTTAAAGGCTGAGCAGGGCCAGGACGCAGCAATCACAGGAAAGCTGGGGAAAACCATTTAACAGCCCTAAGACAAAAGCTTGGTGCAAATGAAAAGACCTCTACTTTCAAGAGAGGAAAAAATTTAGGGCACTATTAAGACCAGGGAGTAGCTGGGCTTTGCAGGAGTGCAAAAAAGGAACGGAGGATACAGACCATCAACCTGAAAAGCTGACGCTTGCATTGCTCTGGGATGCACTATGATGGGCATCGCACGTCAGCCTCAGCGGTAGGACGTAGCATCCTATTTTGGGGACCACAACAACAAACAAATACATGCATCAGCACAATAAAATTGTTGGAAATCACAGCCTCTGAGGAAAGGAACTGCAAGCAGCAGGAGGAAAGGAAAGATGCCTTATAAGAACAGATGGATTTGTCCCCAAATTCACCGACAGCTGGATGGGAAGAAAGGTATTTGCAGGAGAGATGGTTTAGATGAGATATTGGGAGAGATCGTGCTGGGCGCAGAGCTGCTCTCTGCAGGGACGGGGCTGACTAATGCCACGCAAGGTTGGCAGGGGGACAGGCTGGCCAGCAGATGCTGCCGAGACCCCTGGCCTCTCGGGCGGCTGGAGGTGGATGGCATAGCCCCAGGTACAGCCCCACAGCACTGTGCTGTGATGGGCTGCCAGCGCCGCAGCATGGAGGGCTGCGGTGCCCAGAAGCAGGGTCAGCGCTCTCCAAGCTCTTCTGCCAGCCCCAAATGATTCAGGTACCACCTTCTCATGAGGTCTCTGCGCCTCTACCACCAACCCTCTGCAAAGGCAAGAGGGCTGCAAATGCCTCCTATTTTGGCCAAGCTAGAAGAGCCATAACCAAGACAACCATACATCTTCTCCCCACCTTCACCCTATCTTTTAGCCGGAGTGCCCAACCATGGGGGCTTGAAGACAGGTGAGGTGCAGAATCCTGAGCGCACAGACACTCGCTGCCTCACCAGACTTCCCCAGGGGGTGTTTGCAAGGTCTCCTGGGGGAGGGGGGGCAAACACCTCCATTTACCATAAAGTCAAGACATTTTGGTGCAAATGCATCAGAGAGAAGCAGTCAACACCTAGAGCATCCCCAGTCATCCACCCCACTGTGACCTGGAAGACCCCAAGGGCTTTCCAGCCCAGCCCATCCTTCCCCACAGCTTTGTCAGCATCTGTCAGTCATCGTCTGTACCCCAAGAAGCCTTCCCTTCTTCTCAAGCCCCTCTGAAGCCACATACAGACCCTACCTGGTTACCGTGAAGACGCTGCTGTTGCTGAAGTTGGAGTCACCGGACGCATCCAGAGAGTCTGAGGGCAGATAAATAGGAAACACAGTTAGTGGGACAGCAGGGAAGGTGGAGAGCAGGACTAAGGGCTTCCGCAAAGACAACACCAGCCATCCTTTGAGAGTCCAGGGACCCTGAGGATCCCTTCTGCCTGCAGTGAGAATTTTACACTCCTTGTCAAGCTCTTCTCCACTGCCAGAGGTACTGGATGAAGCTGGTACAGGACTGCAATTACCTGGCAAAATGCAGGCTGCACAGTTTCAGACCTCTGCCCCAAACCAGGTCTCCTCCTCCTCAGTGGAGATCCAGACACATCCTTCTGACGGTTACAACCATTCTCAAAGGAGCTCAGAACTGCAGAGCTGCCTTCCATCATCCAGATTTCAATGCCCAGAGATACCACACAAACACCAGAAAGGTTGAATCCAACCCAGGACATCTCCAGCTGGCCAGCTCTCCCGCAGCGTGACTCCATGGGGAAGAGCCAAGCAGCCCAAACAGCTTTCCAACATCTGCTCTGTGCTAAAACTGGGTCTTACAAGCACGGTGACAAAGCATGACAGGATGAATTTAATTTTCATGCCCCCTTGTGCCAACAGCCTCTACTCACAGATGAAGTGGCATTGCCACATCAGCACAAGCAGGGAGCAGAGCTTAGAGTTTGTGATGTAAAAGCATCACAGGTTTATCTGATCCTGCCTGTTTCAAGGTGCAATCTGCCCCCAAAAGGGGTAGAGATTAAAGTCATTAAACTTTCTGTTGATGTCTTAAAGCTCTTCTGCAATAGATTTTAATAAAAGGAGGTATTCTCCAGACAAAGAAGGAATAAAAAAAAAAGAAAACTTCTTGCTGCTGTTCTACGGCATGAAATTTTTCCCCTCAATACCTTCCAAAACAGAGCTGGTTTTAAATCATTTTGGAGGAAAAAGTTCATAAATCCTTGCTGTAATGATTTTCCTGGATTATGAAGGGGATGACTGGTTGGTCTGTGGGAGAGGGCAGCGTGAGATTTAATATAGTGCACAAAAAACCCAAACCAAACCAAACTGTGTTGGGTTAGGCAGTGGAAGCCTTTGCACCTTCATTGAAGATTAAGGTTAAAATCCTTATTTAGGCTGAGATTTTGAGATGCCTGGGTCCTTATTATGGATGAAAGTCAAAGCAAAAAGGGGAAAAATCAGTGTTGCATTGGCCGGGAATCGAACCCGGGCCTCCCGCGTGGCAGGCGAGAATTCTACCACTGAACCACCAATGCTGCCCTGCCTGCTGCCTGCGCACCCCGGCTGCCTGCTCCTGCCCCACGCTGCCTCTCGCCTCCCGCCCCACCCAGCTCCCTGCCTCCTCGCCTTCCACCCAGCTCCTGTTCTACAAGAAAACCCTTCAACCTTTTTAATTCCTACCTTCTTGCTCCCTCTCACGGCAGGATTTTCTAAAAGCCGTTTGCGGGCGTGTTACAGAAGAGCACTGGGCTGAGCGTGCAGCCCCAGAAGATTACAACAGATTAGCGCACATGATTTAAACGTTACACGTATTTCATGTGCCTGGACAAAAAATGATGTGCCAGAAGTTGCATTTAATCATCCCAGGAGAACAGCATCAAGGCTCTGGAACAGCACCAAAGGGATGCTGGAAGGCTAAAGCCACTGCTGTTTTTCAGGCACCAGTCCCCTGGGACCATCTCTGTTTAGTTTCTTCTCATTTGAGCACTCTTCCAGACCTCCCATCCCGCTTGCAAACTTTTTTTCTTTTCTGTTCTGGGAACGTTGGGACTGGGACAACACCTGCATGACGGTCTTAACAGCGCCACGAATTTGGAAAGGACTCAAAATTCTTCTCCTTTCTGTTCTCTACCCTTCCCCAACACAGACATCCTCCACAAACGTGTTGGTGCTCTCCCAGGATGAACACAGCTCCCTGAGTTCTCCTTTGGGTGATCGCAGCTCCTCCCAAACCAGCCACTGCAGGACAGGTGGGCTATTCTCTTCCCATGTTATGTAGCAAGACACTAAACATTTAACTATAAATGATCTTTTTCAGGTCAACTTAATGACTAAGTCAAAAACTTAATGACTAAGTCAAAGTGAAGCGTGGTGAGGGGATGGAGATGCTCACCAGGGAACGCAGCACCACTTGGGCTCCAGGCCGGATCAGTGACCCCGCTACGAAGACAGCACCAAACGTATCTGTCTCAGCAGAGGGTTATCTGTGAAACAGGACTCCAAGAAAGCACAGAGCTGCCTCAGGACACCAAAGCAACTCAAGAACTTCTCTTGAGGACCTTCCCTTGACCTTCCTCACACCTCTAATGGCTCAGACCAACCGGGACTCACCACTGGATGCTGCTTCTGGCTTGGAGAGAGACTCCTCCGAGGTGGGCTCTGCTAGTAGGGTCATTGACTGCTTGGCCTCATCCATTTCATCGTCCTCTGGGATGACCAGTTTCATCAGGCTCTGGTTGCACACGTTCGCCACCTCCTTGATGTCTGAGTGCAGGCAGTGTAAGGAACACGCAGTCCCACACACAGCTAGGTGCCATACCTGGCCAGTCACGGAGAAGCCATCCCAGCCCAGCTACCGCAACCCCCCTCAGGTCCAAAGGACCGGTGCAGGTTTTAGCACTTGGTGAGAGGACTTCTCCTGGTCCTCTCCAGCCGTGCAGCTGGCCCTGTGCCCCAGGGGCAGGAAACAGGCGCATCCCTGCAGGTTGCTGTAAAAAATGGGAGCAGCTCCGAGTTACAAGGATACTCTTCTTGCGATCATCGTAGGAGAGACATGGCAGGACAGCGGTCAGGATCCCTGAGGAGTAAGGCAGCATCACCCGGCCAGCCAGCTGGATGAACTCCCTCATCCAGCACATGGCTGTCAGCTGGATCAGGTCATCTAGAAGACATGGGACAAGCAAAAGGTGAGGGAAAAGACAGCACTGGCAGCTGAGCAAACTCCACAGGCCAAGGACCACCTGCAAGCAGAGAGCTGCCTCTGCTCCATCTGGAGCTGCCTGTCCAGACAGACCCTAGTCTGGAACAGTTTAGTCCCAGAGGAGAGAGGCAATACCTGAATCTGCAGCAAGACTGAGATTAAACACAACCATTAGGTTTCACAGTTAACACAGTTCAATCCATAATCCAGGTTTCCTCATTTACAAGTATTCTGTCAAGCTTCCCAATGCACAAGGGTATTTCCTCTGTCACAGCCATAGCAGCTGTGTGTCTGGGTCAAGCATCACTCCTAGAGATGGGGTTTTATTAACCTCCCCAAGTTCTGAAAAAGGGACCATGCCTGGGGTAATCAGCTGATTCAAGACCAGATTTTAGTCTTAAACAGTGTAAATTAATTGGGCATCAGTTTAATCAAGAGCAAGCAGTCTCAGTCTATTTCTATTTTCCTGCCTGTTGCCCCCTTTCAGTGGATTTGCATGCCCAACGACAGAGAAAAGGCAAGCGGGCGAGCTGGTGAACAGCCCACTGGAAAACCACTGGTCTGAACCTACGGTCGGCACTGCAAGCCCAGAGACGGATGCTACGCCTTGGTCTTGCGCACTCACCCGCCGCCTGGCAGTGGATCACCAGGATATTGGCCATTTCTGCAAACTTGACGCTGGAGGGATTCTTCTTGATCTCCTTGAGGAACTCCCCGAGAGCCACCTCGCACCTGCAGAGAGGCAGAGCAGTCGGTTAGCGCTCAATCGCCTTGGACGGAGAAGTTACGGCGACCAGCCTCCTACATGGACAGACAGAAAGGATGCTGGAGGCAGGGCCAGAAAGGATGAGGCTGACATCCTCACCCTGCTCCAAGGCAGAGACTGCACACAGCTGCCAGGATGGAGGTGATGGCTGCCCCAAGCCCCTCGCACCTCCCCACAACTCCCCTAAAAGCCACACAGGCTCTGTTGAGATCAAGGTGTGCCTGGGATGGGGCACGCAGAGGGGAGTAGAGGATACCCAAAGCTTTCAGTGCTTGTTCCTTCCTCGAGAAATAAAGAAGCAGGGAGGACCCAGGAGGGGCTTGGCAGCAGAACAGACTCAGGCCAGTCTCACCACTTCCTTGTGCCCTACAAAACAGGTCCAGTTTCTCTCTCCCAGCACAAGATGCCAAGATCCTACGACCTCCCTGAGAACACCCAGCCACTCCTGTGCTTCAAAATGCCTCTGTCCCGAGACCAGTGATGGATCTGAGGAGCAAGCTCACAACGCTTGCTTCTCTTTTTGGCAGCAGAACAGACTCAGGCCAGTCTCACCACTTCCTTGTGCCCTACAAAACAGGTCCAGTTTCTCTCTCCCAGCACAAGATGCCAAGATCCTACGACCTCCCTGAGAACACCCAGCCACTCCTGTGCTTCAAAATGCCTCTGTCCCGAGACCAGTGATGGATCTGAGGAGCAAGCTCACAACGCTTGCTTCTCTTTTCCACCCAGGAGATGCTGGGTTGGTGCTCTAACTCACTGAGAGAAGCTCACACACTGCAAGTTTGTTCAACGAGCTCATATCCCATCCTAGAAGTGCACATAAGCCTTTGCGGCTTTGATATTGGGTGCAAGAACTGGGAAGGCAACAGCTCAACAGAGTTAAAACACTTTGTCCCCCAGCACAGACCACGGTGTTCTCCAGAGCCGCTCCAGCCACAACAAGCCGGGGAAGGGAGGCCTTGGCCAAGGACGCTTTGATAAACCGATCAAGCCAGCTAGGTCGCTCCATCTCCCACCACGCACGTGGGGTTTCGCCGGTTATACTGCAGAGCTGCAAACAACCGAAGAGGGTGACGGACAGACAGCGAGCAAGGCACAGCCCTTGCGCCCGGTCAGCCTCCACACTCACATTTTCCGTATCTCCTTGCTGTTATCTCCCAGGATCTGGAAGAGCCCATCCAGGATTTCTGGCAGGTAATCCAAGAGGTTGATGTCAGGCACAGACTCTAAGACCAGGATCTAGCTCAGGGGAGGAATAAGAGAGAAGAGGTGAGTTTCAGAGAAGCTAACTAACATCACCAGCACAAATCTGGCACGATACTGAGGAATTCAGAGCTGAGCTACGTGGGATCAGGGGGGAAGGACAAGAGGACAGCGTAGAGTTGCTCATCTCGAAAAGAAGCTGGGCTAGCACAGGAAGCAAGCCATCAGCCTGCAGCATTGCTACATGTCCAATCACTCTGTAAAACAGAGCAGGGATCAGGAATGATCGCCAAGACGCATGCAGGCAGACCTGGGACAGCAAACAGTATGCCTGAAAGAGACAGCGCAGAGGCACGCATCTCTCCCCAGACCCTGGCCAGGCACTGAGAGCTCCTGCCTTGCCAGAAAGGAGAAAGCAAGTAGAGATACCTTGCCTCCTGGAGAGCAACATCCCTCCATCACCGCTGGGTGATGGAAAGCAGTCTGGCACTGTCTCTTGGGAGACTGTAACCTCTAGACCACAGGGTTATCTATTTACCCAAGCCACACTTTGATTGTATTTTCTAACTTTGTGTGCAAAGTCCTGAACCAGGTTGGCAGAAGTGCAGTTATGATATCCCTGCGACCGCAACAGCGAGGTGACAGGGAGTTAGCATTTTAAAGAAGCAGACGAAAAACTCTGCTGACTTAAAAAACATGCCCGAGTAAATTCGGGTGTCTGAGTTCACACATTGACATGGACATCTGCTATCATGGGATGCTGGCAGGTCACGGTATTTTGGAGTTCAGACAGGCAGGCCCATGTGGTGCCATGAGTACCTACCCAGGATATGATGAACTGGCGGGCATACTGGTTGTTGGAGTAAATTCTCTCACGCAGCAGTGGGATGAAGCCTACCAAGTCAAACTGGTTGCTCTCTGTCACGATATCCTGCAGAGCCCAAGCAGAGGGTGTTAGGAGGGATGGCCACCCCCTATGCCCACGCAGCCACTCCCACCCAGCCTTTTTTTAAGGCACGTGACAGGAGAAAGATGACAAGTCATTGATCCATGGGTCTGCGGGTTCGCAGACCTGGGGAGACGGAATCACGGGTTTTATTCAGGCGATGAGCTAGTAATCCTCCTTGGGCAGGGACTAATGCTGAGCAGGACCCAGAGACAGAGGCTCCTGCCTGCTGCGTGCCAGCCCAGCTGAGCAGGAGGAGGATGAGAGCTTCTCCAATTCACGCCTCAGTGGTGTGTCGCACACATAAGCAAGCACCTGTGACATAACCACGCGTGTCAGGGGTGGGAGAGTCCCCTGGCTTTCCTTTAAAGCTCTTCCTACACGCTTGGTGGATTTTGCTGCATGGCTAAGTCTCTCGCACCAGCGCGGTGGAGTAGATCTCCCAGCAGGAAGGTTCGCAGGAGGCGACGCGGAGACTGCGTTAACTGCTGTGATAACGAGGAGGAAGGGAGGGCAGGACCTGGCAGGGAGCCACTCACCTCTGAATAACAGAAACAGAACTGGGAGGTCTATGAGAGTAAAAACCCATTGGCAGGCAAAACAGGAACGGGAACCGAGCCTCCCCCCCCGAAGCAACGGCAGAGCAGCTCCGCTCACACTGCTACTCGCTTAGGCAAGCGAGAAAAAGCAGCGGAACAGCCCTTCTGCTGCCTGGGACGGGGCTGCAACCCTACTCGGACTAAAACCTTGCTTCCTCAGGCACCTGGCTCCCAAGAGCTGAATGTGCCCATGTGGCACTGTGATAACCTACCAGTGCCTCAACCCAGCTGCCTGAGATTGTCACCACATCCTCAATCTTAAGATGCTACAGGCGGTGAGAGAAAGCAACATTTTGACAGTAGCCACAGGACTGAGCTGGGATGGTTTTAGCAGCTGCAGCCTCAGGGACCGACACATCCCCAGTCAGAACACACTTGCAGTTGGCACTGAGGATTCTCAGCCGGAGAGAAAAAATACCTTGAGAAGCCGATCGAGGAGTTCAGAGCCGCTTTTGACGTTCGGATCGGGATCAGCAGCCAGCTGTGAACGACAAAAACAACAGCCATTGCAGCAGTGGGTCCCAGGTCTGATCCCCGCTCTGCAGCGGAGCTCCCAGCAGGCTCACAGGACTGTTGCTCTCCTCTGGCATTACAGGGATGGACACAGAGAAGTTCCTTTATCTTCACCTCCTCATTAGGCTCCAACAAATTCTACTGAGAGCCTTCCTAAGGGGGATATCAAGCACCCATCACCTCCCCCAGCTACACGGGTTTTCACGAGCCAGGAGCCACGCTCTCAAGTGGCAGAGAAATACAAGTTGCGGGCAAAAAGCTGCAAAGACAGGCATACGTGGACGTGGTTTTGACCCTACAGACCCTACAAAGCCGTAGCGCAGCAGAGGCATCTCGCTTGCAGTAGTTCTGTCAGCCTCATTTTCTAACACTACTCAACAAGAAGCAGGAAAATATATCCTGGAGGAGAGAGAACAAGGTATCTTACAGTGAACTCCAGCACCCACAATATCAGTGGTTACTCTGCTGTTGCAGAAACTGCTCATTCGGTCCTTCACACCTGCCTGGGTCAAAGCAAACCAGGTTACTTGGAAAGAAGACCTTGGACAACTTGGTTGGTTTGACCCAGAGAAGATGAGGACTAGGGAACAAGCCTTAGCTCTCCAGCGTGGGAAAGAAAAACACATGGGGGATGAGAAGAAGCTTCTTACCTTGCTGAGGCCATCGAAGAGCACGTTGAAGTGTGGGAGGACAGAGCCCCTGGCCACCTTGACGATGTTATAGAGAGCCTCGCAAGCGTAGTACCGCAGCCGACTATCGGCGTCATTGAAACACGTCAGCACCGGCTCAATCAGCTCCTTCAGGTAGAGCCCAGAGTCCTGGTGGGCAGGAGAAGATTGGTTAGTTGAGGACCATGCCACAGGGAGAGGGAAGAAATGGCACTGCCCTGGAACATATTGCAAAAATTCAGGCCCACGATGGCTTAGTGCACCTCTGCTGGACAGGATTTACTAATGAGTCTTGAAGTTTATTATGGAAATTATTGAATTTTTTTATTCAGGTAGAGCGACAGCCAACAGAGCAAGCTAAGAAATTCTTTCAAGAAAGTCTACACCAGCAACCAAAGCAATTACTGCAGCTGTACTCGGCTGGTTTTGATTCCCAGAGATGTGCAAAAAGTTTGGGCAGTCATTCAAAGCAAGAAGGGCCGTTTCCCTGCTGCACGCCGCTCATCTCTGCTGAAGACTGGCCCACAGAGAAATCCATCCCTGCCTCCTTTTGCCCTGCAGGCAGAGGACGAGGCAGATCCCCAGCAAAGCCAGCGGTCACCAGCCCTCGCAGTAGTCAACTGTCAGTCAGGATTTATCCCCGCGGTCTGCGAGAACATCCCAGACAGCGACAGACCAAGCCCTCCTGCACCTTTAGTTAAGCAAAGCAGCCCTTGGTCTGTTGGGCTACTCTTTGTAACGTCAGGAGCTGGGCAGGGTGGAGGAGCTGGTGATATGGTTTCACAAGAAGACAGACAACCAGCAGTTCCCAAAGCACCTTCCTGCTCTGCTGTCTCCAGAAACATCAACTCAGCCGTGGTCCCAGCTACCAGAAGAGGAGCAGCTTCAGTCTGTGCAGCTGCTTATGGACAAGGAACGACAAGAGCTGGCAGAGTTAAGCTGGACTTATCTGTTGGATGAAGTTACTGCAGGGCTCTGATTCCCAGGCAAGATTCATCATCAACACACTGAAGTTTGTCCTGGACCATGGAAAAGCCATGCTAGGCTGATCCTGACTCTGCCCACAAGGGAATATATTCGGTAACAAGGCCCCCTCCCCACCCCAAAAGACTTTTGCTTAAGGATTCACCAGCACAGCAAGAGTTTCAGACAAACCCAGAAGTTGAGGCAGGAGGCTCGCTTGTTTTGAAGTTAAAAACCGTTGCTTTGGGGAAAGAGACTGGCAGTTCCCGAGCATCTAGCAAAGCAGATAGCAAGAAAATCAACAACTCATGGACAAGGAGATTAAAGAGTTCAACTCCAAGTTTTATCAGCACCCCTCAAGGCCACCAAAACCAGCTCCTCCATTCCCCAGAGCCACTTGCACCAGCCGCTCTGGTAGCACGGAGTGCCTGTCCTCGCTCTGTACGGGAGGAGCAGGTGGGTTGTGTGCCTGGGCTGAGGGCAGAGCAAAGCGTTGCTCATCCTAGGTAGGAGGGTTTTGCAAAGAGATTCTGCATTTTAACAAGAGGACGAAGACAAGAGCGCTGCTCTGAAGCCCCCGGCCACCAGCGTGAAGTCAGTTAATGTAAAAGCTATCAGGCTTCAAAGCATCCGCTCAGACCGACTGCGACTCTTGTTAGAACGAGAATAAATGAACTAAAATCTACCTCGTAGCTCTTCCAACAGGCACAGCCCGCTCTTCTTGAGCCCTCTGCTTTCTTTGACGTATACCTTACTACGGACCAAAACAACTCCTTCCCTTGCAGGCGCTTTCAAAAACCAGCCGTATGGTTTGACTCAAAAGCCCGACGGAGCCATGAGCCTCCAGAGTCCCTCCACGGGGATCTGGATGCTCTGGTATTGCCCTGGGGGCAACTTACTGAGCCTGTTCTTGTTAACGAGAGGAAAGTTCTAGAGAAAGAGCTTCATTGGGACAGAAATCAACCAACTTCCCATGCAAGGGGCATCAATATAACAGCTCCAGAACCGGACTGAGCGATCCACACCTTCAGCGAGTAAAAATTCTGCCAAGCCCAAAAGAAAGCTGCTAGCTCAGGCTAACACAGCCTGACACCTTATGCCGCTTGCTTACTTTGACTACGCCTCTGCCACCATTTGGCCCATACCTTAGCCCTGCTTCCCAAAGGCCCTGCCCGCGCTGCCAGAGTCGGTTGAGCTAGGGGTGGGAGACAGAAGGGCTGCAACTCCTCTCAGCACCGTTAACACAATTTAGTACTCAACCTGCTGAGTCTAGTCCAGTTGCTAGAGACAGAGGATGGACAGATGCACTTAAACCACGCCTAGGGAGCTGCCAAGATGCAGCCCAGGCCAGAAAGCGCTCCTGTGCCCAAAGGATGTGGCTGGGTGTGTTGGGGAAACTCAGATACAACCCAGACGTATGTTGCAACTCAGGGAGGGAGCTGGGGAGCTGCAGGACCACCAGCCCGAGTCTCCCCATCACGCTGACCCAGGAGGAGCCGCTGTTCTCCCACTGCAAACCTGCACAAGCCAAAAAAACCCCACCCGTACCTACCTTGCCCAGGGCGATGGAACAAGCAGCCAGGCCAATGAGTCCCCCTTTCCGGCTGTGGGGGTGCTGGGAGAGCGCAAACTCCTGCGACAGGATCTGGATCACGTGTTTGATTTGAGACGTGTTGTTCTGAGCCACGAACTCTCGCACCAGCCTGGGGAGAGAAAAGGAAATCCAGGAGGCTTTAGGTTCTGCCCGATACAAATGCTTGGGGGCTTGGCTCCCTGTGGCTATAAGAAACAGGGATTTTCAGCCATAATAAACACCAGAGAAAGCAAAACCGAGACGGGGAACGCTGAAAGAACCTGCAAGTGAAACCAGAGCTCTCCCCTCCTACCTGCTCACATCCAACAGCAACTCGCTGCCCTCCTGCTGTTCCCAGCCTGCAGCTTCCTACACCATTCATGAACGGCCAGCCCAGGACGGACTCTCAAAGGCCACCTCACCACAGTGGTGTGCTTGCTGACAAGTCATCACCAGGCTTTCAAACACCCTCCCCAACAGGGTCGGTTATGAGGGTCATTTACCTCCAACACGGCACAAGACGGCAGCACAGAACTGCTCAGCACGCGCCAGGAACGCCGGTGGCTCGGAAAGGAATCGTTGCCCACCAGACCCATGCCCAGCGCCAAGATTTTGGACCTTTCCAGCTACTCGTGCATCGCTTCAGCTGATATTCCATGTATTTCAATGTAGTCTTAAACAGCACAAGCCTTAAGAGCGAGCAAACCAGGTTTCCGTATGCAATACCTGCTCCTCCCTGGAAACTTGCAGCTCGTTACCCAGAGATATTTAACACATCAGCCGCACTTAAACAAAGAGATCCGTAAACCCTCTCCAGCCTACGCAACCTGGAAAGGTCCCAAGTTGCCCAACTGACCTTTCAGCCCTGGCTCCCCTGCGGCAGTCACTGGCCAGGCAGGGAGCAGGCAGATGTGCAGGCAGCTGTGCAGGCAGCAGCACACAGCTGGAGCATTGGTGGTTCAGTGGTAGAATTCTCGCCTGCCACGCGGGAGGCCCGGGTTCGATTCCCGGCCAATGCAACACTGATTTTTCCCCTTTTTGCTTTGACTTTCATCCATAATAAGGACCCAGGCATCTCAAAATCTCAGCCTAAATAAGGATTTTAACCTTAATCTTCAATGAAGGTGCAAAGGCTTCCACTGCCTAACCCAACACAGTTTGGTTTGGTTTGGGTTTTTTGTGCACTATATTAAATCTCACGCTGCCCTCTCCCACAGACCAACCAGTCATCCCCTTCATAATCCAGGAAAATCATTACAGCAGACGTTTATGAACTTTTTCCTCCAAAATGATTTAAAACCAGCTGTGTTCTCACCCTGCTCTGAGCAAAGCAGCTGACTCCCTTTTCCCCTGGGGGCTTCCCGCAGCCTCTCCTCGCTCTCCCAACTCCGAAGCCGAGTTCTCCAACACTTACAGCCCGACCCACTCTCACAAACTGCTGCTTTAAGGCAAACAGCTCCATCTCCAGTCCCATCCCAGCAGCGGGCTCCAGCAGAAGGAACACACCGAGCTCAAGCAGCACGGACCATCAGGGTGATCATTTTACTGCCTAGATTTAACAGACGGAGCTTTGTTTGAACAGGAATAACTTTACAGACTTCCTTCGAGAGTTTAAAGGGCTCAAGATTTAACGGATGAGGCAAAAGGCAGCAAAAAGCAGTTGTGCGGCATTAGAGAGCCTGCAAGCAGCAGGAGCTGTGCTGGGTTATCGGTCAGAGGACAAGGAGGTACCTGAGCTGAGAGGCACTGAGTGTCTCCTCGCTCGATGCCATAGACGCGGGAGAGATGCCGCTGGTGCCGTTCTATGATGGGTTTTAGCTGATTTAAACCTGTGTATCTGCAGAAAGGGTTAGCCCTTGCTTTCCTCCTCCTCCTCCTGGTCTCCCTCCCAAACTGGGTTTCCAGCTCGATCAGCTGAACTGTCTGACTCCAAATCAGACTTTGGTTGGTACAAGCCAACCACAAAACCCTAATGCTGGGGCAGAATAAGCCAGGGAAGAGCTGCTTGGCGAGGACAAGGAGCATCACCCCTCGCAGCGGCAGCGAAGGGGCAGTTACCAAAGCACCCCTGAGGCTGGAGTTATGAGGACAGTGCAGCAGATCTGCCATAACCCACCCTTAAGAAACTATTCCTACAACGAAAACAGAAAATGAGGGAAAGGTAAACACACAGAACAGAAAAAGGGGCTGGCTGGGTTGGGTTTACACCTGTCCCAAGGGCCATTTTTCTCTGCTGCCCATGTCCACCCTCCCACGCAGGACCCTCTGTGTTTGAGGCATGCGGTTCCCACCCCACATCCCTCCCACGTCTCCCGCTGAACCCTCGGCTCCATCCTCCCATCACCGGCTGCCACACCGGCCCACCCCCCGCCCCCCCCCGCAGCCTTGCCCCAGCCGCATCTCCCACCCAAAACTCCCTCTCCGGCTTGGATCATCACTCCCAGCCCTGCGCTCGGCTATCCCCCAAAGGGATGCTTTGGCTCCGTCCTCCACGAGCTGAGATCTCCAGCAGTGCCCGGGGAGGACACAGCCCTTCCCAGGCAAAGCTGTGGGCCAAAGCAGCACAAAGCACCCAGACCAGCGCAGCGAGAAGACACCCAGGGAACGTAGAGGCAACACTAGAGGGGGCACGGCCATGCAGATGCCTGCAGACCTTTGCCTAGGATGCTCTGAAAGGAAGGCCTGAGCTCTGCCGAAACAGGAAGAACTAAAGGCAACACCCAATGGCTGGAGGTGACAGCAGGCGCTGC